CAGAGATGTGATAGATGATTTTGAACCTTTGTCCTGGTAGAAAAGGTATTGTCATCAAAAATGTTCCTTTATGAAGCAGTGTCAGGAAGGAACAAAAACTGCGTCATTTGTCAGGCAGAAACAATAGAGCTGCTTTACTATGTCAGACTTCTTTTAAAAATATAAATAAAATCAGTGACCACATGCATCTTGCACATTCTAAATGAAAACATTTCTTAGTTATTTTTTATTGCAATAGCTTACTGAAATGTGAGCAGTTTGCATGGTCAAAGAGTAAAGGTGAGGTACTTTCTGTGAAATGTGTTGTTATTTGAATTAAGGCTTTTCCAATTTTACTTAAATTGAAATCAGTCCATGTGGAATTACAGTAAAATGTAGCAAGACGTTGATTTACAGAAGCTCCTGCCTTCATCTCAGAAGTAAATTGTGGAGCTTCATGTAATCATTGATTGGTCTTGGGTGTCTCTCTAAATGATTTTCAAGGAATACAGATTATAAAGAGCTTAGAATAGTAAAATTACTGCTTATATTTTTGTCTTCATTATGACATGCAGCAGTATAGAAAGCCTGGTTGTTTTTGTGTAAATTGAATTTAATGTTGAAACTGCCTCTGTAAAATAGATTGTGTCTTAAGAAGGTGGTACGAAAAGTATACTTGGACAAAAAGGTTCTTTTAATGTATTTCCCTTTAGAAAATAGGAGGTGGGGATATTTGAATCAAATGCCATGTTTAAAATGTGAAAATATGCTATCTAAATTTAATACTTAATTCTCTGAGCCTTGGTCCAGGCTGCTAATACGAATCTTTAAGATATATAGCTATAGGCTTGACTTCTTAAGCCCAATACCCATTAAGCTCTAATGGGTGGGTTGCTCGAGTTATGTATAGATGGATGGGTCTTCCCTGGAGGAAGTATGTACAAGCTCTGATATGTTTGGACTAGACTATTACTGCAAACCTGAAGTGCTATTTACAATATTATATAGTGTAAAATTGCTTTTTGTTTTAAATGGGGTCAAAGCCATAGCCAAGATGCCAGGTGGATACATGATACTTGATCAAACAGGAGTAAAAATGAACCTTGCTGGATCTTTAGGATGCTTCAGCGTGCTCAGCAGATTGCTAATATGTATGCATTCTCTTCAATAATTCAATTTTAATGAATTATAAAGTTATATTTCTCTACTAAGACTGAGTTTCATGCTGCTGCTGGGATTTGCTAGCATCACATCGAACACGTAGGCAGAATTGTTCTAACAGCCTTGCTCTCTATGAGGTTATTTACTGTAGTGGTCCTGCCATGTTACAGACATAGTTTTTCCACTGTACTGGGCCTTTAGTCTCTGACCATCCAAGTTATTTGGACCACTGAGCAACAAAACCATGGCCACTTCTGAAACTGGGCAGGATAGGCTGGGTCCTCACCATGTGCACAACTCTTCCAGAGGAAAGAGCAATTGATTTTTGTTCTTTTCAAAGACTGGGAAGGGCAAAGGCTGTGCTTCTCCTCCTAGACTTTTGTGTTTTCCAAAGAAAGAATAGGGTAGGTTCTCTGGATTTCAGCTCTTGGACCCTGGAGCGTCTGTCAGAGTGCATGGACTGCCAGGCACTGTGGCAAGGTCATCCGCTAAATCCTTCTAGCAAAGCTTCACTGAAGAGTGAGAAAGGGTCAGTCGTGGTTACACACTTGCATCTCAGAGTCCGCTGCAGATGTTTTTAAAGGCAGCAAGAGTGAGGGCTCGATGGAATTGCTATGGAAACAAAGCTTATTATTTTTATTTATTTATTTATCCATTCATCCCTCCCTCCCTCCCTCCATCCATCCATTTATTTATTTATTTATTAAAAACCTGATGTCCCTTAATGGCAAATCTTGGGAGTCACCCAGTCTCAGGAGAGTTCTTCCATTGAAACTCAGGGAATGTGAAATATTGGCCACTAATCAGCAACTCCAAGGTCCTCTAGTCCTGTAGAAAATATTAATGAAGTACACAGTCTCAAACTAGAGTGCTCTGCTGTTCTAGCAGAAGGTGATTATTTAGGCATCAAGAAAGGACAGAACTGCAGCTTTTCACTGATACTGGCATTGAGTAACTGCTAAAATAGACAGAGTTGGTGGTAATGAGATGACTTTTAAGGCCTTTTTTACACTGTGGAGGATTCAAAAGAGTGGTGTGTCTGTCTGGTGGGAGTGAGGCATTCTAGTCCAAGTCCAGTAATATGGAGGGGGTGAGAATTGTTGAAATAACTGTATTCTACTGAATCTCGGTATCATTGAAGAAAGCCGGAGTTCAATTTAAGCCATAACATTTAACAACTAAAATAATGTAAGGCTTGTAGTTAACGCAGATTTACAAAAGGATTGTGGAAAACAACCCAGAACTTTATGAAATCTGAAGTGAGAAAATGAAGGACCTGGAAGTTCCAGACGAACTTGTCAGCTGGTTTTCAAGGCATGCTGCTTTTGGTGTCAGCTTTGATTGCATATATTCAGAGGCTTTACAAACAAAGTCTTGCAGTAGAAGGGCAATATGGAGAGGTGTTTTAGTGTTACAGCATCCACAGTTTTTGGATGAAGGTTCATTTTTTTGGCAGTCCTTTGGTGTGTCTGATAGTTGCTTTGTATTTGTGGAATGCTGAATCAATGCAAATCACACACTTCCTCTGACTGGTGTTTGCTATGGTGTTACTTAAACTACCATGTTTACTGTGGTAAGGTTGGGCATAAAGAGACCTGAGGGAGCTGTGCTTGTTTACTTGAACCTGAATTTAGCTTGTTATGGCTTCCCAGGGAGTCACAGATAAGGTTTAGAACTTGACCGAGGACATTTCCCTGCTCCCTTGTTCCGTGCAGTGTGTTATGCCAGGATACGGTATGGTGGGAAAGCAGAGGAAGCTGGAGTCATCCAGAGCGCTTAAGACACCTTGTCTGTGATACAGGATCTAGAATTATAGCCAATCCAGCATAATACTGAAAACCATTATATTCACATAAAGATAATTACTGAACTGTTGGTTTATAGGAATGTCTGAGATGTGTATATATAGCTCATTTAACATATCTGAGGGAGTCAGCATAGTCTGATTTATAAAGCAGCAGATGAGAAGAGATCAGAGTTTTCTCTTTAGCTCTGCAAATGACTGGTGGAGTGGAGCAGTATTGGCTCTTGACCTCTCTGGGTATGTGCATCGCTGTCCCTGCAGTTCTTATGGTCTGTATTAGCATCATTACATGGTTTTGGCTTTTTTCAAGTGTTGTCTTAAATGAGGAGGATTTGTTCAGGCCATTAAGCCTGAAACTTTATACTTAGGCATCTTTTACTCAATTGTTTGGCCAAAGATATCCGTTTGGGTAGTTTTACTTTCTAGCAGTGCAGCTAATATGTATTGCAGTTGTAGTGAAGCACCCTTGAAAAAAACCTGATATTGTATACCATGGAGGAATGTGTGTCTGCTTCTTATAACTTGTTTCTGTAATTTATCAAACGAAGAATGCTTGGTGTAAAGCAGAAGATTTTTGTGAGTGTGAGGGCTTTTTTCTATGAGTAATGCATTACCTCTACAAGAGTCTGTGTAATTTCCTACCCGAGCTACTTGTACAGCATAGTCTTGAAAAAAACCTGATATTGTATACCATGGAGGAATGTGTGTCTGCTTCTTATAACTTGTTTCTGTAATTTATCAAACGAAGAATGCTTGGTGTAAAGCAGAAGATTTTTGTGAGTGTGAGGGCTTTTTTCTATGAGTAATGCATTACCTCTACAAGAGTCTGTGTAATTTCCTACCCGAGCTACTTGTACAGCATAGTTTCATTCTGTGGAACATCAGCCTTTTGTAACATATAATTTGAGTATAAATTGTAAAAGGCTGATGCTACCAATAATGCTTAATTATAGGTCTTTGATAATGCTGGCATTGGAAAGGTGGCATTCTGCATGCCTTTATTAGCTTCCTATCTAACTGTACTATAATGTTACTGTCTCCTAAAGAGTTTATATTAATACATGGGAAGTCACATTTGTTATGAAATTTCCATTGCAATACAATTTGGTTGTATGTAGGCCAGAATCCAGATTTGTTTGTCCTGGATTTTTTCTTTTCGATTGCTAAGAGTGATTATAAAAAAGGGGCTAATCTTTTACAAAAATCTGTTGTAAGAGAAAATGAATACTACTTGTAAGAGGCTATTTTTTTTGTTCTATAGAACTATTTTCCTTGTAGATGATATATTACAGTTTAAAAGATGTAATTATCTATGTTCAGTGTTTAACCATGATGTTCCTACAATAGAGACCTTTGTTCTCCAGAAAAATAAAGTGTAGTCAGTAGTTTGATAAAATACTTCACAAAAATAATTTTCTGATTTCAATGCCATTAGTTTTTAACATCTAATTAATGAAAATGATTGAATGTGCAGGAGCTAATCTCCCAACTAGCAACAATTAGCAGAAAGAAATATGGCAGTGCACAATACTGTTTGTCTTGCCAGTCTCTAAAAGTTGAAGTGCATGGCAATCAGTGTGCCTTTTCAGATATTCAGGAATAAATTCTGGTTTTCAGTGTGCAAGAGATTAGACAGTTAATTTTCCTAACATAATTTTAAATACCGGTGAGTTGCTAAGCAGCTCTCTTACACTCCTCACTCTATATGCTTTATATGCAAGTTTTCAGTCAAACCCCGCTGCTATATACATTGGCATTTTGCATTAGAAGACAGTGGAGAAGAAAACGAACTACAGACTATGGATTTTGCATTTCTTTGTGAACTGGCTGAATATATATTTTTATTGAAGTTTATGTGAACCAGAGTTTTTCAGTTTTTCATGGACTGCATGTAAATTCTCAAGTCAACTTTTGCAGGTTAGGGCAGGCAACCTTCCATGAAACATAGTGGGAGTTTTATATGGATAACTCCTGCAAGAGTTTGCTCCAGAGATTGCTGTTAGGTGTTGTTCTGAGTGATAAATTTGTTCCAATTACGTACTCTTTGTCTTTGCAGTGTTCTGGATGATGAGGGGAGCAGCCTGCGTCAGCAGAAGCTTGACAGGCAGGTAAGATTTTGGAGGGGGATCTACTTGCTCTCTGAATTCTAGATCTTGGGTCATATATCTGGTAATTGATAGAAAATTGCATCCTCTGATTAGGGAATGCAAAAGAGAGGTCTGTGGAGGTTACAGCTTTCTTAGAAGTCTAACTTCCATTAAAATTTTTCTTATGACTGTGGTTTGAGTGATTCCCATTTCCACTGCCTTGGACTTGTTTTAAGCTGACTTACAATATATTTGTTACCCCTTTGATGGACCAGAAAGGACAAGAGGTTCTGGCAGACATGCCAGCCAAAAGCCAAAACCATGTTTTGGTTTACCACAAAGTTTTTACGTATTTTCCTTTTCGTTCCATGGATTTAGCCCTTGTGGCTGTAAACTAGTGGCACTATGTGCTATGTTGCCTATTTTGCTACTGTATTCCTACATGACTTGTACAAGAAAGTGATTCAGAATCTCTCCCATGAAATCTCAGGGAATTTTGCTATCAGGTTTTAATGGGGTTTGAGGTTTTCACTTTTCTTTTGATTTTTCTGTGGTCCCTTTTTCACAAAACTTTTTCATGTTTATAGTTAAACCTTGTGAGTTTAATTTTATGTTTTTCTATATGTTTCTGTTCCCATTGTTTTATCAGCTTGCATGTCTACCAGCATCTCATTTTCAGATTCGAATACTTTCTATTTATGCCATAATCCTGTACTAGATTCTGATCATTTTGAAGTCCACTCTCCATTCTTGTTCTTCAGTTTTAGTCCATCTCCTTTCTAAAAGCAAAAAATCACTGTACAGGAGCAGGGAAATAGTAAGGTAATGGATAAGTAAAATTAAAAGTTCAGTTCTCTAAGGTTCTAGAAGAGGGCTCAAAGAGAGTGGTGCCTATGGTGCCATTGGATGCTGAAGGTTTGGGGTTTTCAGCAGGTCTAGCTGAGAAATTCAAGTGTTTAATTAAAGTTTATTTTGTATAGTTGTTAAATTAGGCTCATGTCGAGCATTATCACTTGATTCTAGTTTGCAGAATACCTGCTTTTAATTTACAGAAACTTAAATTGGCATCTCCGCCTCATGCCCTTGCTTACCCTCCCATTGCTTCACAGCCAGTACTCTCACACTGGTGTTTTCCCAAGGGTTATTTCCAAGCAAGCTCTGACAGTTGGTAGACTGCTCAGAAAGATCTATTTTAATTATTTCTGTTTTCAGCAGAAGGTGTTTTAGCAGTGGGTTGGTTGTGTTTTTTTGGAAAGATTTCCTGCACCCCAGTATCCCAATATCTCACTTGCCAACTGCTGCCACTGGAAAACTGGAGAAGGTGTAAAGATATCCATTGATTTTCATGATAGATTGCTACTGTTTGGAGTCCAGTAACAGATGCTTTTCTTTCTTTTTTCCTCAGCGAGCGTTGCTAGAACAGAAGCAGAAAAAAAAGCGCCAGGAGCCATTAATGGTTCAGTCCAATGTGGACAGTCGTACAAGGACACGCAGAATGAAACATTCGGAAGAACAAGCACCATTGGTTGAATCGTATCTTAACAGCAACAGCAGCACCATATATCATGGTATATGAATGTGATCTATTGCATGAATATTTACTGAAAGTCACAGTATGATGGTCACCATGTTAAATTTATGCTAATGAGAACAAAGGTTGTTGTTTTGGATTTTTTAGTAAATAATTGATATCCTTCACTTGTGTTTGGGGATAAAAACATCAGAACTTGCAATGCTAGCCTAACAGGAGGAAGCGAGGTAACTAGCTGCCATTTCAGTGCTGGGGGGAAGAGAGAGTGGCTTGTCCCTTCTGCCATGAATATTTAAGTGTCTTCAGCCTTGGTTTCTTCTGAAGTAAAGCTTATGGTGTTCCACTCTATGTATTCCTCTGTACATAATTTTGCTTAAGCCTGACAGTGTTAATGATAATTTTGAAACCTGTTAACTAATTTCAGCTAAGTTTGAATATAATAATTTCAAAGATACTGTGTTTCTGCAAGGTTCATTAAAACAGGCGAGTAGGTAGAGAAGAACATTTCAAGCTTGTACAATGTGGTCTATGCTTTCTTATTAAAGATTACAGAATCCAGAAGTTACAGAGACACTTCAGGTATCACAGCCATAGGGAAAAAATTATAATGCCATTTCTGTATTGTTAGACCTCAAAGAATTTAATCATCAGAAATAAATCCTAAGGAAATCAGTTGTTACTTAGTTCTGTGCTCATATGGCCCATGCTTGTTGGCCCCCTAATGAGGTTAGGTGCGTACTTTTCCTCAGAATTTCCAAGAGGGAAGCTTGGGTAACCCTGGTTCAATATTGTGTCTCTTGTAGATCTCATTCCAGGTTGCTAACACCTCCAAGAGTTATAGAGAATAGTAATTTTCAAATTTTAGTGTTTTGCAGATTGTTAAGACAAATTTGATTCATAAGGGATTCATAAGCCTCAATAGCAAAAGGCTTTCTTCCCTGAGTATCGATGGGTATGTGTTACACAGAATTAGTATAAGGAAAAAAAGAGAGTAGGGGACATGAGCTGAAATCTGCTGGTACTGGGAATGCAGTTGGCTGTTTTCAGGTCGGGAATGCTACTAGGTGGCAGAGTACTTCAGGTTTAATGTCTAAAACCCAAAACCTAAGATGCCTTTGTGAATCTACCTCTGGAAAAAAACCCCAAACCAACCAGTATCCTAGTCTTAAACAAACAAACAAAACCTTAATTCATCATTCAGTTCAGACCTCTATCAAGTATACTGCACGTGCTATACTTTTCATCTGCCCTATCATTTTATTTTCATTTGGTGGTCATGTATTTCAATAAGGTGATGGCAGGTATTTACTGGACTAACTAATCATGCTGTGAGAAGTGCAGGTTTCAGAGTCTCTGCCCCCGTTTTGCAATTGGTGGAACTTTTTGGTGTGGTTACAGCTACAGAATTTATTGTTAGAAACTGGAAATTGCATTGATCAAATGTTAAAGCTTCATTGAAAATAGACCTTTTTTATCTTGCAAGCAGATAGGCTACCGTAAGTGATTTCAGATGGAGAATTATTTTTTCTCTTAGTATTATTTTAATGATGTTTTTTCTAATAAATATTAAAAGCATTAGTAGTATTTCTCTCTCTTTACTATCTTTTTCTCAGGGTCTGGGAAGAATTTGGGTTGGTTTTTTTTTTTTTTAATCAGAGAAAAAAATTTTTGTCTTTTGTCTTTCACTCAATAGCTTTTCAAAGGTACAGAACTGTTCTAAGAAATAGTATCTTATGGTACAGGGTGCCATCGTATACTAAACCTTCTGTATTGTCAGTTGAACAAGGTTTTAATTTTCACAGATCAGAGAAACAGACATTATCATCCCATAAATGGTAGCACATTTCATATCTGCACTAACTGAGCTAAATCTTGCAACAGTTTGCACCAGAGTGGACTTTCTGGCTTAAGTGAGATTAACTGTGCTCTTAAGGTAAAAGTGACCCTTCCTGTAATGTTATATACCACACCATTTACTGGAATACTTATTAATGTATTCTCCTTAAATCAGTTTGTTCTAAATTTGTTTCTCAAACCCCATCAAGATTTCACAAGGTTTCAGAGAAGCAAAAAAATATAGTAATGTTTCTTATATTCAACCCAGAGTTTGTTAATCCCTTGTTAAAGCCAATTTAGGAGAATTAAATTACCTAGTAAAGTGTTTTATTGCCTTGTAAAATCCTTTGTTAGGACCATTGCTTTTGAAAATACTGTAAGAACTCCAGAAGTGTCCTTTTTTGGTGTGGTCCTCTCTGGGAATGTGCTTAGTGTCTTAGGTTACACTGTTTGCATGGTATGTAGTTAGGTTTTGATGGCCATTTTTAACTATGGTATTCAGCTTCAGGGTTGGCACTCTTTTCCCCTTCAATGAAAACATTTGTATGTGGGAGTGTCGGATGCATGAGACAGCTGGGCTGTTTCTAAAGAACTATTCTGCTCTTTTCCGTTCATTTGTTTCTGTTATGGGCATGCTGATTTTAAGTTAAGAATGACTCTTTGATGGGAGTTGACGGTCTACTGAATGAACTACATTGCTTGGATGAGCATGTTTGTGAAATCAATTCCTGTACTGCAAACGCTACAAAAAGAACACTTCTTTCCACCTATCATCCTCCTCTACTCTCTTTTTTTCCTTGTACTAATTCTGTGTAGTACAAAAGTACTTGTTGATTTCAACAAATAATTGGATGCCTGTGTGGAGATATCTCTATGGTAGTTTGAGCAAAGTAGGTCAGAGATAACATCTCAGCAATTCTGAGACGTTAGGCTTTCTGCACTGGGAAATTTTCTTTCATACGCTGCTATAGCTTATTCTGATGCAGTTATCTGTGCTGCAATGGTTCCCCGATGGGAAGCTCTACTCTGGAATAAAAACTCATTTAATTCCAGAATAATTATCAGAGTGTGGAGTAAAAAGTCAAAGTAACTTTTGTTCTGGAATAGAACATCGGCCTGGTGAGCTATTTGTAGGTAGATATAGTGGAACAGCATATTTCGCTAGTTAAGCTGATCATAAGTTATTCCACAGAAAGGAGCCCTTGGCTGCTTTTGAACCTCTGCAGGGAGTTGCAGGGTGATTGCTGCTAGTCCTCTGGCTGCACATGTATTTTGCTTCATGTAGCTTGGAGCCGAAGGGAAGTGCAAATAAATCTAAGATGCAATAGGATGGAGGGGTATTAATTAAGGGCTGTGGCTGAGCTCAGCTGGGGCAGCTCACAAAGGGGATAATACAGATGTGGCTTTCCTACACTTGTGTTGCTCAGGATTGAAGATGCTGGGACCAGTTTAATTCAGCATGAAACTGAGCAGGTACGGGGCTCTTCTGAGTTTCTTTTTTGTTACTTTAATGAATAATGAAATGGCTCTGCTGAAAGCCTGTCTCCACAAAGTAAGGAGGAGTATTGCCAGGATCACCATAGTTTTTCCTAGGTACCTTCAAAGCAGCGAGGTGACATCTTGGTAGGATGAAATGGTATGTCTGTTCCCTGCCAAGTGTTACTAATAATTCCTCTGGGTGCTGTGAGACTTCTAAGGAGATGGGTGCCCTTCCACTGAGGAAGTGGCTCTACAGAATTCACCATGCACAAGTCTCCAGACAGATCACTTCTTAGTTCCTGCCCACGTCTCACCTACAGGTAAAAGTTTTCAGATCCTGTAGCTTGTAAATGACTTGCATGTAGTATACCTTTTAAAAACCTTTTGGTTGTTGGCATAATGCCTAATTAACTAACAACAACAAATATTTGAGTTATCTGCGGGAACTGACATGAATTAGGTTGAACAGGCCAACTCAAGATAAAATGAATCCTTGGCACTCTGGTCCACAAGTGGTTAGTTTGAGCTCAAGTATTAGCCAGTGGTAACACAGTGCTTGTCTGTCAGCATCTGTAGGTCAGGTAGGATCAGGCGTGCAGGAAATTGCTTTTGTTACTTGGAAAGGATGATAGAGATATATTTCATGGGAACAGAACCTCTTGTTTTATAATCTGTGCATCTAGGAACATAGGCACAGTAGTAGAAGTAGTTTCATGGCAGCATTTCTAGATAAGTCCGGGACAAAGCTGAGTACATGGAGGTAACAGAAAGTGTTCATGTAAAATGATGAATGCAGAGTCCTCGCCCCCCCCCCCCCCCCCCCCCCCAGGTATTAATATAGTTTTGGGACCACACTTGTACGTTAGACCCTAAATTATCTGCGTGCCATTTCAAGCAATAGGTATCCTTCCATTAACTTCCATGATGTTTGGTTCCAGTTGTTACTATTACAAATAATGCCTCTCTCTCTTGCAGTACCAAATACAACTTCATTGCTATTTCATCATTATAAATAGCAAAATAAGAACCAATAACATTTTGTATTGCTATTAAGTTTACATTGTATATAAAAGACAACAAAGTCATTTATTCACTGGAATAAATTTAATCCTTCTGTGTAAGAGAGATCACTTACAAATTGCTTTGTCTTCTCTTTCTTGTGTTCTTTATTTTCGATTCAGTGTCCTTCATAAGGACATATTGCTACCTATTTGTTTAAAGTTTTTACTAAATTTTGCTTGCCATTCCATAATGCCTCACAGTCACATCTGCTGGTTTGTTTTCATGTATCTCAACACCACTTATTTTGTGAAGTTTGTTGAAAACTGGAACAAACATTTTAGCCTGATATGACATTGCAGAATTCTGCTATGAGTACAGTTCTTTTCAATCTGGATTGCAAATACATACTGAGTGTTCCTGGAGTGAAGTAGCATGCAGAGATACACTAGTTACTGCAACAATTTAATTACATTATTTAATTACACTTAATGCAAATTATGAAAGCCCATTTTTACAGAGGAGAGTAATTTTACTTCTGTGAAAATGGTGAATTTCCATTGGGGAGCGATTTTTCTTTTCACAGCACTGAGGAAGGCAGTGATTTGAATGAGTGCCAGATACGCTTTCATTAATATTACCATACTTTGTTGCAGCTGTGGCTTTTTTTTTTTTAAAGACTTGAAAATAAAAATGTTTTCAATTAGATACTCTCAGAGTAAT